AGTTACAACATTAAAATTAAAACCAAAAAGTAATTGAAACCAGTATTTTATTTTATTTCTCCCTCCATTTTTACAAAATGTGTGTGCTCCTCAAAAAGATCAATTACTTGGAACAGCTAGGACTATTATTAAGTTCAAAATGATTATAGGCTCATATTAGGGTAGCACAAATCATGGCAATGCTATTCTATCATGATGTGCTCTATGAGAATTTCCATTCTTGGTTGGTAAAATGAGAATTCCAGTTCCAAGGGGCTCCAGTTTCTTTTTTGATCCCTGTAGATCAGTGCATCCTATATGTATTTAAGTTATTAGAACTCTTATTTAGATTACATTTAGATTTCAACATCCCCTCCAAAATCCTGGCTGCTAAGTGCTTCAGAAAGTTTCGAATTTCAGTGAATTCCCCTGTATCTCATGCACCAAATCACAATTTGCCTCCTCTGTCTCATCACTCCAGGGTAAAACCAGGTGGCCACACTTCTCTTGAAAATGACATTACATTTCCAGCTGCTGGTGAAAATGATCCAAATCAACTGATTTCATCAAATAAACAAGAAAGCAGATTCTGAACCCAGCTGATCCAGAATTGCAGCCACACAGGAAGGGTAAGATTTGTTTTGAAGTGGATTTGAAAGACCTTGCCCTCCATTTTTAGACACCTCGTCCTAGGAGCCCAATTCCCTGGGATCTTTGTAAACCCCCCATTTCCAGTCTGTGGATCACCAGCATGCAAGAACGGCAAGAGAGAGACAGAAGATCACTCACTCCACCAAATCTACCCTCATTAAACAAATAAAGCTCCCGAGGCAGATTTCTAGTGGCTCCAACAAAAAACCCCCAAGGTTCAGAAGCCAAGTGCCAGCACTAATTTTACCCTTAAAGAAACACAGAGCACGACGAAGCCCTGCCCACCCTGGCACTCAGAGGGGTGCCAGCTCATTGTCCTACCCCTAACGCGCACCCATCACCCCTCCCCTTCCCTCCCAGCTCAAAATTAATTCTAACAACGTGAAGACAATTCGACTTAATTGCAGCTGCATCATCTCCTGCAGGATCTCGCTGCCAATCCCGCCGTTTGAATGTGCAGTTGCCAGGGCAACGGGTGCGAAGAGGATGCTTTTGTGCTGCCACTCGCATCCTCGGGAGCCGTGCCAAGCCCGGAGCTCCCGCAGCTGGGATGGCTTTAACACATTCCTCCCCGGAGCCCCCTGTCCCTCCTGCCATGGCCAGCCCTCGGCAAGCAGCTCCTCCTGCTCTGCACATCCTGACCTGCACGGCAGGGACAGATGGCTGCAGCTCAGGCTGCTGGAACAACTCCCCTCAAACGTGCAGCAGTGCCAGACCCTGCAGAAGGTTTGGGGTACATGGTTCATCCTTAATGAGGAAGGAAAAGATCCTTCACCATCATTTAGGAATTATTTTCTTCTGGTGTTTTCCCATCTGCCTGTTGTCTGCAACAGAAGGCTGCTTTATGTCTGGAGGACTACATGGTCCCTGCCTCCACAATTTTAACCTAAAAAGCATGATTAATGTGTACAGAAACCTCCCAATCAATCTCTGATTATCTTCCAGGGCAGACTGCTTCCCAGAGTTTAGCTCTTAATAGCTTTCCTATTTCTTTAAGATGAAGGGTTTAAACTTAGGTCAGAGCCTACTTTGCCTATGACCTTTTATACCACTTTTGAGTCTGCAAGACTTAAGCCCTTCTATAAAAATTAAGGTGCACTGCAATCATTCTCTTTATACACACACACGTGCAGTTAGCAAAGAAATATCTGACTTTAAACTTTTCCACGGATAATGAGCTGTAGCTGAAGATCACAAGCTAAATCTGTTTCTAATGGCAAGGAAAACTATTTGCAACAACAGCAAACAGCCTCCCTGCTAGTGCACTCACAACAAATTACAGGACACAAAAGTGCCTGTTGAAATGATCACCAGTGTCATCTAGGAAGTCCTATAATCCTGCAGCAGCCCTGTACAGCACTCATGGAGTGAATGTCTGAAAGTCACCCACTGAACACTGCTGGACTGTCTGCTGAGGACAACATCCATGGTGTTGAGATCCAGGATATGACAGACACATAAGGAAAAGAAGCCAGTTCAGGATTGATTCCATCTCAGTGCAAAGCTGAGTCTTCCACAGCCCTTTTCTGCTACAAACAGGTCCTAGAGAAGCACAGCAAACAAGCAAACCACAAGACACTGGTTCACACAGCCTCCAACTTGAAACTACCTTTGTGTCCCCAGCTAGGCTTGAGGCACATGGAAGGATTTGTGAGCTCCTTCAAAGCTCAGCAGAAGCCCAGCACCTCTTTGAAACACATTTCCTCACCTCCCAGATGCCACATGTGCCATTATTTCCAGTGCAAACACAAATATCACAGCACACAGAGCTTTACCTACACTTGAACAAAAGTCAACAACTACCAACAGCAGAGAAATGTGGGCAATTCTGGGACAGGCAGGGAAACAGAAGCCTAAATTTCAGCTGTTTCAGTACATGTAGCCTTTGCAGAATAAGTAATTTTTTCAGGAAAACAATAATTATATCATGCAAAGCTTTAGGGGTGAGGAGGAGAGATGGGGAGGGATCCCTATTCTGATTAAGCAAGAGGATTGCTGTTGCTCCGTATTTTTAACTGGAAAAAAAAAAGTTGCTGAAGGAATTAAAAAGGCACATTCTGGTGTGCAAATGTGATCATTAAGCCATGAGCCACATTCCAGAAGGGAGCTGGGAGCATGGAGAGGGGATGTAGCAAAGCAGGTCAATGTCACTGTTCAGGGGGGCTGTTACACCCCCATCACTTTGTCACACACAAGGCAGCAATGCAGCTGCTCTGAGAGGAGTGCACATCACTGCCATGCCAGCTGATGGCATTCCCCTTTAATATCCACTCTCCTCCAGCTCTGGATTCCCCCCAGGCCCCATCCTGGCAGATATCCCAGGGTGTGATGAGCTATCACTCCACTCCATGCCCCAAAACTGCTCTTGCAGTGGTCATGCAACTGCTCAAAGCCTGACACAGTGCCAGGACACCTCCCTCTCCTGCAGGCACCACTGGGCTCCACACGAGTCACAAACATAAGCAGATGTCTCTGGTCTTGTTCAAACTGGAAAACAGGGTCAGACTGCAGTGACACAGCTACAGAGGAGGCAGGAATTAAATGATGAAGATCATTGCATCTGAGGGACATTTAACCCAGGCGTGCTTACACCTGACAGCCAAGTCTTTCATGACCCTCATTCCATGAAATTTATGGCAACTGAGTTACTGTTGAATATTCTGGAGGACACTGAGACCACAAATCTTGTCACTGTGGAATAAAGAACATTAATGCAAAATCTGTAAAGCTCACCCAGACTAAGTGCCCACGCAGGGATTTGCCCCAAGCTTCCTCTGCCTTCCGAATGAGAGCAAAATCTTCAAGAGGTAACAAGGTAGGGGTGGGTTTAGGGTTTAAATCAGCACTTCTAGATATGAAGATGTTTCAGCTCCTGAGACAATGGATCATTTTCCACTAGTCAGAAACAAAAGCTGGTGCTGCCTCCAGTAAACATGTGAAGGTCCAGAAGTCAGAGCTCCTAAATTCTCTGGCACCTCAGTCCTGGATAAATCACCAACCTGCTCATCCCATACACCCCAATTTGGGAAGTGGGGAGACACTTGTTCTGTTTATTCATATTACTGTATCATTCCAGAACACAGTACTGCCTTATTTCCTGGACTTTTCACTCACATGGTGATAACCACCCCTGAAAATGCTGGAAAACTGGTGAGAAGAGTGGAGAATGGGGCCCATGGCACGCAGTGTTTCTAGGAAAAGGGGCACTGGGCTGTGCAGACACAGCTCTCCACCTTCAGCCAGGTATGTGACCTTTGGAGTTAATGGGAATTTAATCAAACAGAGCAGTGTCCCTCTGTGGGCTGGCACACAGGAGGGTTTCTTGGGAAGCAGATCAGCAGCCCTGTCTCACGGTGTCTTTCTGTGCTGTTTTCCTGAACACAGAGCAGCTGTGTCTTCCCAGAACATGAGGGTGCAATCACAGCCCTCTCATAAAGAGAAGATGCAGATGAAAGCAGAATCAGGGCTTATAAAATACAGGGTCAAGCAGGGAAACCAGGAAAGCACATGATAAGAGTCTCATTCTGTAGGATCAGACTATTTTCCTTTGTGAATAACTAAAGAACACTGTTTGTCTCTGAAGCAAGCTTACCCACTCCTTCTTCACATTCCTGCCTGCCCTTTGGGGATCACTGCTGTTTGTTTAACACTGACAAAGATGTCCTTGAGATTCCATCCTTTTTTCAGGGGTCAATGAAAACGTTCACACAAACCCGAGGTTTTTAGTTAAAAATAAGAGAGACAAAGTATCCATTCAGCAGTGACAGTCATTGATGGGTATTTTCAGCCCATGCTGAGCAGGACAACCACACAGAGGCAGTGTTAACCAGGACAGGTGGCCAAGGACATCCCAGAGACAGGGGGCCAGAGGCTTCTGCCTCTTGGCAGGACACAGCTGTCCCAGCCCTACTTCAGCCTGGTAGAGGGTGCAAACTCCAGGGAAATCACAGGAAAAGAGCAGGATGGGTTCTGATGCTAATATCAGTGGGCAGAAAGAATGTTCACTAACCAGAGGGAAAGTTTCTTTCTCTTTTTCCAACAAAGCAGCAGGTTTTCCCCACAGAGAATCTCCTCAGGAGCTTTCCTGCATGAGCTGAAGGGCTCTGGAAGATGCTGCACCTTTGAAGTGGTCACACTCAGCTCAGTTGTTATTTCACAGGTTTATCTCAGAGAATCTGGGGTATTAGCAGAGCCCAATGTTCTAAAATACCAGCAAAGGATTCACATACCAGGGAAGGTTAGATTAGATATAAGGAGAAATTTCTTTACCAAAAGGGTTGTCAAGCACTGGAGCTGCCTGCCATGGGAAGTGGTTTTTAGAGACCTGGGGCTAGGGGGCCATAGCTTAGTAGTGGACTCAGCAGTATCAGGGTAAGGGTTGGACTCAATTATCTTAGAAGTCTTTTTCAACCTAAAATCCTTTCTCAGCCTGGAAGATTCTCTGGTTCTGTGTTGTTAGCATCAACACCAGAATTCAACCTCTGAACTTCTGGTTGGCAGAGGCCAGGCACTGGTGGGATATGGTTCAACATCTCAGGGGTGTCAGGTCAATCTGTGCATGGTTTTATGAGAAATTATAATAACATTTATGTAAATAGAACATTAATATGTGAGGCTTCCTACATTAACATCATGTTTAATGGGTAATAATTGAATGCAAAGCTAATCACTGACCTACAATTAGACTTCAAACCATTGACTACCACCTTGAACAAACTCATATGCACAAGAATGGCCCAAAATGGCATCCTTGGCTAGAGTTTAGCTCTTGCTTCACATCTCTTACAAAGAACAAACACTCTTCCTGACCTCACTGTTGCACAGTATCACAGTATTTCCTTTTCTAGGAGGGGATGAGAAACACCAATAAACAGGAAAGTGCTCAGAAATAAAAATAAACCCACAGAGTTTGGAATGTCTTCTTTTTCTTTCTCAAATTCATTATCCCCATTCTTTAGTCTCATGTCTTACTTGAAAAACCAAAATGAGAAGCAGGAAAGCAACCCTTGAACTGCTCACTGAAATCCCAGTAGAGAAGTGGCTGTGAGGAATGAGCACCACCAGGAGAGAAGAAGAAGAAGAAGCAGAAAAGAGAAGCAGCCTCAGGCCATCCTGGCAAAGACAGTCCAGCCTTGGTCAGCCTCATCTGTTGTCCCCCGTCACAGAGGACACAGAACAGCACCAGCTGCACATGAAGGACATCACATTGGCATCATGATTTCTAAAGAAAGAAACCCAAGTCTGTGCTTCCAGAAGATTAATCCCAAATGTGGACATGGGTGAACTAAAGGAGAAATTCGTCATGCTTAAGGGCAAAAATACTGCATGCATCTGGCTAGAGGCTTCCACACTTGTCACAGTAAGAGAACAGATGACTCTGATGGAAAGCCAGGCTGGGAATGGGTTTTTGTTCTTCTGAACTGTTTGCTTATGGCTGTGAACTGATGTAAAAATACACGTGAAACATAAAATCTCAGAGCAAACCAACTAACAGACCCCAAATACAGGTGATATGAATGATTTGAACTGCCTACTACATTAGTCACAATTCAAAGCAAATGACAAATTTGTTTTCCTGTTAAGATGCCAGTAAAAGAGGCAAAGAGACACAATAATTCTTGGTTGCTTACAGATAATAGCTGTTCATTTGGCACAGAAAATCACTGGTGGGTAATTGAGGTTTCATACCAAGTCAGAGGCAAAATCCACTGTGAATTCAGCACAGCCATGCAGAGATCAGAGCTGGCATCAACCAGCAAAGGAAAACTCTCCACTGTCTCGGGGTTGTTGGCATCAGCACCAGAATTCACCCCCTGAACTTCTGGTTGGCAGAGACCAGGGACTGGTGGGATATGGTTCAACACCTCAGGGGTGTCAGGTCAGTCTGTGCATGGTTTTATGAGAAATTATAATAACATTTATGAAAATAGAACATTAAGAATATTAATCTATGTAACTAGAACTTGCTGCTAAGGCTTCAACAGAACCAAACTGAAAGAGCTGAGGGAGAGGGGGCCAGTTCCCAACAGAACAAAGCTTTGCTCAGACACCTCTAGGTGGAAGTGTCTGTGCTGGAGGAGTGAGAACACATCCATCCCTTACCTTGGGCCGCTTCCATTCCACTTTGCCTTTTGCTGCTGGGTCGTAGTAAAGGGATTCATCCGAGGCTGGAAACTCAGGATCCTCAAAGAGCCGGCCCTGCTGGAGGCACTGCCCCTTCAGCTCGTGGTACTTCTGATCTCGGAAGAGCTGCACTGATGGAGACATCTTCCTGTCTAGATAACATCAACATTGGACAAAATATGAGGGCTCTTCAAAGTCCATAGCTGATACCAGTCACTGGTCTTTAAAAAGAGACATGTAACTTCTTCTAAATGAGGTAACTGATTTATTTAAAATAAAACAAAAAAAAAAACCCAAACAAATTAAAAATCAGATTATGTTAAAGACTAGGAAAGCATAAACCCAGAAAAAATCTTATAGATATAGATCATATTTTTGTCTGAACAGAATTCTTATCAGGAAAGAGCCCAGGCCAGCACAAACCCAACATTTTGCTTTGTCTAATTGATTGGAAAGGTAGCAGAGTGAGACTTGGCTCTCAGTCTGCACCATGTGTGAAGGGCTGGGCCATCTTTCTGTCCTCATTCTTCTTCTGGCCACTAAAGCTTGAATTATCTACTCCAAATCTTATGCCTAAAAAAACCAAAACCAGATTTCCACATTTCTCCATCTTAATTTAAGTGACAATACTTTGGCTTGTACTATTGTCTTTGAACTTTATGTTACATTTCAGGGAACTGAATTCCCCGAAGGAGAAAATACTTGCAAATAATTGATGAGAACTAAAAGTATTTTAAAAGCACAGCAACAACAAAAAAACCAAACAATGTGTTCTCAGACCTTAATTCCCAGAATCCTGACAATCAAACTTGGCAAGTTTATAGTCGCATCCACAGAGCTCAAATAAATTGCTTTAAGGCATTAAGACAAATGAGAAATCAATTACAGAAATCACTCAAGATAGTTTGAAATTTGGAGGACGTGAGGGATGTTACCTCTGCCCCAAGAGAGGAAGTGGTGAGAGAATCTGAACTTGCCTGTTTGGAAAGGTCCTGTGTGTCAGTTCCTCTCCTCTTCCTTCTGGACACAGGTTGGAATTAGAGATGTATCTCCTCTTCCTTGCCTACAGCAATAAAGACAAGTGCAGGTTGAATTAAGCAACATCCTGCTCTGGAGCATGGCACCACCTCATCCTGGCAGCCACTGGCTGTGTCCAGCTGCAGGGAGCTCAGCTGCTGCTCCTTGAGCCACCTGCAGCACGAATTGGATGAGATTCCACAAATCTGCAGGAAGCTAAACCGAGCTTGTGCAGGTGTGTAAGTGAGCACAGCAGGAGAAATACAGAAGAGTAATGAGGAACACTTGGAAATGTCAGATTTACCGTGGCCTTTGCTCTTGTGAGTGAAAGCTGTTTGTGGATGGCCCATCCCTGGAAGTGTCCAAAGCCAGGTTGAATGGGGCTTGGAGCAAGCTGGGATAGTGGAAGATGTCCCTGTCCATGGCAGGGAGTGGCACTGGATGGGATTTAATATCCCTACCCAAAAAAAACCATTTTGTGATTCTTTTACTTTCTGGTTACTTATCTCCCTCAAAAAAAAGTCTCAAGGCCTCTCACTTGGCAGGTGGCCTCCCAAGACAGGGCAAATAGATTTGCTTCCCCCAACAAACCAGTTCTTCAAATTCAAGTGTACAACAACTTGTCAATTTTACAGAGGTACCTCAGGGACCACAATAAAATAGTCTGACTAATTTGGGTGGGATATAGATTATTTCATGATAACTGGCATTCTTGATCTTTCAAAATTCCCCATGAACTATCTAACATTCTAAACTGAGTCTATTTGTTTTTAAAATAGCCCCGGGATGATGAGGTTTCTGTCACTGCCTAATTCATTGAGACAGGCCTTTCATGATCTCATTCCCCTGCCCTTTCTCCCCACCTATCTGCCAGACAGGAATGTGAGTCCTTCCAGGATTAACACTCCATTCCACAACAGCCTGGAACGTTCTGTGGCAATGCATAGAAGGTGGTGATAAACACTGCCTGCCTTGCCCTGGGCTGCACAGGCCGTGCTCAGCAAGGGAAACACCAACAAGGAGGAGGCTTCTCCTGCCAATCTCTTATCCTGCCCCTCTCCAGGCTCCCTGTGACATCTGCAGTGGGTTTTAGGGGCTCAGGCTCCCAGGGCTGCTCATCCTGGCTGCTGAATGTTTCACCCCCACTCAGGAGGCACTGAGCTGAGGTCCCATCACCATCTGGAGAACCAGGAGGAACCCACTTTCACAGGAACCCAGAGCTGCCCATTTTAAACTCAGTAAAAATATCTCTTTCTTGTTGGAAAGCCCTCCATCAAGAATGTCAGTGCAGTTTCTATAAAACAGCCTGGTGGTTTGAGCACTGAGGATGGAGGGGCACAGCTGAGCTCACCTCTCCTGGGGTGTTTCACCTAGCAGGACATGGCCTGAGGCAGACCTGCCTCCCATTCCAAGGCTTATTTTTGAAGCAGCTCCCAATTTTTGACCCTCAGTTGACCATTAAAGCTCCCAAACTAAGAACCACACTCTTCTTCCAGTCAGGGCACACAGCAGCAGAGCATCCCCTGCTCCACACCCACAGCTTTACCCTGCCTCAGCTGGCACTCCAACCTTGCAGTGCTGAGGAAACATTGCAGGGCCTGGCAGCTGCTCTGCCAGGGCTCCCTGCTCTGCTATGTGATACGGAATGAGCTCTGCACACTAGACTAAGAAACACAGTCCTAAAAATACTGCACCCCACCTCAGAGACACTCTGTCACTCCGCAGAGAGAAGGGACCACTCCAGGGGTGGGACAGAGGAGAAAAGAAGGGGGAAAAACCCCTGAAGAGCTCTCCAGGTCACCCAATCCCCCGTGGTATCAGCAGAAGTACAGGAGGTCTCACGTCGCTGAGCTTTCAGCCTCTCAGCTTTTGAGTCTTTCTCTGCCCCTCTGTTTTTCCAGAGCGTTTCCCATTCTGATTAGAAAAAAGGTTTCAGCAGAAGAGTGGAGTTGGTGCAGAGTCCCCTCTTCAGCCTGACCACAGAACAATCTCAGTTTTACTTACAGTTTATACTCAGAGATGATTCCTCTGCCGGAGCCAGTCACGGCTAAATCACATTCATCACTGGGCAAATACCAGCAGCCATAAATTAAAGGGACATTCACTTGAAATTCAAGTCTTCACTGCAGCTTTAAGATAACTTTCAAGTGTTAAACTATCCAACAGTATTTCTTTACACTCACATTTCCCTGTCTTAACCTTTCTCTCCCCCAGCTGCTACACAGGAGATCCACAACAAACAGCACTGACTGTCCAGGCAGGCGTGTGAGGAATAATTACACCCTCCTTATCCTAGAATCCAAGCAATAAATACACAGACCTGAACAGAATTCACCTGCTCTCATCCCCGTTTTGTTACTCTGTGTAACCAAGTGGCATGCCGGGTAAAAGCTCGGGCAGAGCAGTTATTAAGCCCAGCCATCCCGCCCACTCCCACCCCAGCCCGAGGGTGCAGGGACACCAGGGCTGGGTTTTTCCAAACCAAACCCAGACTTTCGGCCCCAGAGGCCAAGCAGCTGCAGAGGGTCCTCGGTGCCAGATGAAACTCCTCTGCAAGGACGAGGCTCGGTGTGTTGTAATGCATGAATTCTATCACACACCCCTCTTTGCTGTTCCAGCTGCAGGACTCCAAGGAATTTCCATGCACAGCACCAGGACTAAAAGGGTAAAGTGCATTTCCAGGCAGGATTTAAGGCTACAGTTGGGCACAGCTTTGAAAATGAAACTACTTCTTCCAGAAGTGGATCCTGAGCTCAGGCCCACATTCCTGCTGACTCAGGAGCCCCTGGCTGGGTAGGCCATGGAGGGATGCCAGAAATGATGCTCACAGTATATTCCATGCTCTGGGGTAGCCTCCCAGGCTGAGAGAGCTGGGGTGCCTCAGCCTGGAGAAGAGAAGGCTCCAGGGAAACCTTAGAGCAGCCCTTCAGTTCCTAAAGGGAGTTTATAAAAAATAGGGAGAACAACTTTTACATGGGCAGTGATAGAACAAGGGGAAGAGGTTTTAAATTGAAAGAGGGGAGGTTTAGATTAGGATATCAGGAAGAAATTATTTCCTGAGAACTGGCACAAGTTGCCCAGAGAAGCTGTGGACTCCCCATCCCAGGAAGTGTTCATGGCCAGGTTGGATTGGATTTTGAGCAGCCTGGAATAGTGGAAGATATCCCTGCCCAGGGTGGTGGAATGAGATGAGCCTTCCAACCCAAACCATTCTGTTATTGTATGAAGATTATTGTCCATTTGCAGGTACCAGGTTGTCACCTTAGCAGGAGTAACAACCACCCACACCTGGTTCTCAGGTTTTTCTTTTGTGCCTGCAGTTGTGTGCCTGTCTTGACAATGGACAAAAACCTCCCTGGCTCCAATCTCTGCTCCTTCAACACTGACTCCTCACCAAACCTCAAAGCCACTGTTTGGACTACGAGAGCAAAACAGGGACCCAAATATTTCACTGTTTGCAAACATAGTTTTGTATTTTCCCAAACATGTCTGTCTCCATAGTTTGCTTCAGAACAGTCAAACCAGTGAGTGCCTCCAAAAAAGCAGCCCCGCAGCCAAAAGCTTTAAATTATTCTGAGCTGGTTTTCTGTAAAACTAATTAAAGGAACATCCAGAGCTCCAGCTGGAAAAGGTTACTGCTCTTTCTTGCTGTGCAGAGTGATCACAGGTCCTTAAAACGCAATGACTTTGCAAATCTGTATTAAGAGTGCAGGGGAACTTAAAGTAGTTGAAAATCTTTCACCTCATAAACACTGTGGTTTCACAATCTTGGCTGTTCCGCTGTTACTGATGCAGCAGAAGCATCTCTTCTGGAGAAATTTACTCATTCAAATTCTTTCAACAGCTCAAGACATTAACTGGGAGGCTTTATGCTGGACTAGATCTCCTTGCCTTCTCTGCATAAGCCAATAAAAATGTATAAAGTCAGTGATAAATCTGTGTTGTGTGGATGTGCAATTGCATTAGTAAGAATATATTCCATTTGATCAAATTTGCTGCACAAGATAATTTAATAGCACCCTGTCCAGTATTAATGACCATGATCCAGGGTTCTCAGTAGTTTTGGATGGCAGTGCTCTCCCTGACTGAGTGAAACACCACGTTTATTGTGTGCTCTGGGGATACCAGGATTGTGCAGCATTGGCCCTTCTTTCATCCAGAATTTGGATTTTTCAACAAAATAAGGTTAGTTTGACTATTTTATGGCCTCTGTAATTCAGGACTTTCATAGGCATATAAAGGTTATTCTGTTAGCTCAGCTCAAGAATTACCTGAGGGAAGGAGACACGAGTTTGCTTTCTTGCAGAAACAGAAGGGTGCCAACCTTGTTCTGCTGTGCAGTTTTGCCACACTTCAAATCAAGAATGGAAACCACATATTTTCATCTGGGAGTATCTGCCTGGATCCTATCACTTCTGAGCAGGAATGTGGGGGAGAGTAGCTGGACATCAGGAGCCCACAACATGTTTGCTTTCACAGACAGTATCACAGCCTAGCACAATCATCAGGCCATAAACCAAAGCTTTTCTACCATAAAATTAATTACAACACTTGTACTGCAGCAGCACAGTGCTTAAGCAGGCTTTGCTTTCAGGCCTCACTGGGATAGGAGAGGTTCTGTGGCACTTCAGCTGGGAGTCAGGATTTAGATTGAACTGCAGAGAGTCAGTGCTGGGTCAGGAGCAAGCCTGACATTTCCTAAGTGGAGCAGGAGCTCTGCCAAGAGCCTGCCACTGATTTTCACAGATTGTTCTCTCTTCAACTCTCCATCTCACCAGCTCCTGGTGAGATAAAGTGCAAACCCATTCTGACCCTTCAGGATGGGAGTACAGAAGCAAACAGCTGCTGAGAAAAGCTGCCCTTGCAGGTAACTGTACCCAGGGGGGAACAACTGCATCTGGCATGAGCAGAAACACCCCAAATTTGTAGGGTTGATGGTCAGGGGCGTGTGGGATCTTTTCAGCTTGAGAACTGAGTGAAATCAATATACACCTGTGATTGTTCAGCAGTACAATGCTGATTTCATAGTAAAAACCACTCAAAGCCCTGGCAGAACACATTCAGAGAGGATAAACTCTGGCTGGACTCCCTCTGTTCCCTCCTTGCCTTTCCCATGAGGGTTTATCCCCGAGTAGTTGCCTGTGAAACACTTTTAACCATTCTCTCTCTCCCCTCAGGCAAGAGCAAAGATTTAAAACGCATTGGGATTAGCAGCAGAACAGAATTTTGCCTCCACCTGATTTCCAGTGAAACCTTCAACAAAATCCTGAAATTCATAAAGATCATTACAACCAGAGACAAAACCCATGGCTCCTTTCAGGATTTTCCAAAAGGCACAGGTGTCTTCATGTTTCAAGAAACCTTGTCCTTCAGTGGCTTCCAGCATAGCCTCAAAATCAGACACATTTTCAGTTAACATCAGAGAGGTACAATTCCAGTTAGATTTTTTTAAAGAAAGTCATTTAATACAGTAGATGCCAATTATTACAATTAATATTAATCCAGTCAAGTGATCTATAAAAAGCTATAAAGAAAATGCAAAGAGCATTGTCACTTCATTGATTCAAGCCAAGGTTTTGTGCTGAAACAACAGGAAACAGCTTTCTCCAGAATTCCAGTACCTCTCAATTCTACCTTTTCATAAAAGTTAGTTCTAAAAAAAAGATTGCAAATTAATCAGTAACTCCTTATCAGGCCACTCCATTACTTTATATATCCACTTATCAATTATTTTAGACACAGTACAAAAATCTCTCCTTCACAAGAACAATGAAACAAAGTAAAAAAAAAACCACTTGAATTTCACAGTGAAAGAATCCACAGTAAGAACTGACAATATTTTGAAAGATGAGAGACAGAATGGCAAATGGAATTATGAGCAGAGATCAAATCACACTTTATCCCCTTTCTTTGCAATAACTGTAAAGGATGCCTGTAGAGAGAAGAGTGGAACTGGTTATCCCAGAAGAAAGGAGAGCACCCATGCTTTGGCAATAAATCCTGCAATAAACTTTAGCTCAGAGTTAGCACAGAGCTGTGACTTTCTGAGAGAACTATATATTAAACAAATTCAAGTAATCCAAAGCATTTTCTCACTGTGCTGGCTCATTATGTTTCACACAGAGTTTTCCTTCCTGGTGACAGAGGTGTTAATCAGTAAACACCAGTCAGGCACTCACCTGGCTGGGGTCACACGCTGCTCAGGACACATCCAACTCCAAAGTGGCTCCTGCAAACACGGATCCCTCGGCTTTTTAACCTGGAATTCTCCGGGCTGTACCACGATCACATCTCCGGGGGGGGGGGGGGGGTGTTGGGATAACTCTGCCAGGGATGTCCCAGGGACACCAGGAAAGCTCCGAGCTGACCCGAAGTGCAGAGCCTCGTGTGCTCCTGACACACAAACTCTCAGCTGTGCCTGTGGCTGGAACTGTGAATGAACTCTTGAAGAAGGAGATAAGGCCACGCTGTTTGGCAAGAGTTGCAGGGTTTGTTTGGATTTTTTTTTTTTTTTTTTTTGGTAGGGAAAACAACAGATTAATACGCACTGTGAAAAAAAAAAAGTTACATTCCTTATTAGGCTGAACAGCACTCATCCTTCCCTCCCTGTCCTAGTAAAGGAATTGGTATCACTTTATGGGGATAACAAAGTTTAGAACCCAGAAAATAATACATTTCTCTGTGCTGTGGCAAAATAAAATGTAGGACACAAAGAAATTCTCGACAAGAAATGGTTTTGGAAAAACAAGCTTCACTCCATACTTTGCTCAGGCTCAATTTCCTTTTGGGTAAATCCTAAACATCTGGGTTAATTTGACGTGAATTTTTTCTGATTTGAGGACTATAACACCTTTATTTTGCTATTATGTGGCTGTTATTTGTATTTTAGTAAATGTAGTCTCATTTTTGAATAAGCATTATTTCAAAATGCGTTACAAAATTTCAACTCTACCATAGTTTTATATATTCTCCCCAGTTTTCTTTGTCCTCAATCCTCATTGTAGCATAATTTGTCTAAGTTTACAGATTGGTTCATTCCTTCTCAACATTATTACTGAGCAAATCTCCTAGAGGAGATTGGATCTCAGGGGATGAGTTACATCCACAAAATACTCCGAAGACGATTAAGAAGTATCACAAATTTCTGCACTGCAAGGTTCACCACAGGACTATTTGCTCTTTTACCCCAATTCCTTTTGAAAGCACACTGAAATTTGAAAGTCCCTGGAAGCTGCCACTCCAAGTTTTACTATTTCATGGGTAAAAAAGCCTTACATACTAAAGCCATGTGTTTCCAATTCCTGATGAGTAAGTAGCCCAGAGTTTAAATCACAATAAAAAGCTGATGCCTGTATATTACACACACACTGTGATTCATTTGTACAGCTGAGAAAAGAACACGAAAACCTCCACAAGAGCACAACAAAATTCCACTCTGTGAGCTGATAATAATATTCACAGCTTATAAGATGTGTGCTTGCAGTAGCTGCCTTTGCTTTGATCCAGTGCAGAACAAAACCATGAGCACTTTTTGATGTGAGTGGCATAATCCATGAATTGGATGGGATTTGTCTGGGCTGAGGAGGAGCTCTTGCTGGAAGTCTTGTCAGAAACAGAAATTCCTTTGGACAGGCAGCAAGATGAGCCACATGGATGACAAGTAAAGGAAAAATAAACCCTGGAAAAGAGGTCTCACTTATTGTGAACCATTTGACCTTACAACATCGTACCTGAAATACTTGAATGAGCTCTGCAGCCTTCAGCTTCCTTGGTGGATGTGTCTCCTCCTCTGGATGGTTTCCATCCATGACTATGCTGCATCTCCTGGTGTCCCCAGTTTCCTCACTGCTCTCCTGCACAGCCTGCAAGCACCCCCTGAGCAGTGCCCCACCACACTCTCCTCTGCTCCGGACTTGCTGCTTTCCAAACCTGACTCCTCCTGCAGCCTCAGCAGCAAAGCAGAGCCCAGAGCCAGCCTGTTTTGTAGGGACACCACAGTGCAAGTAACCACCAGAACTTGCTCCTTCACAAGGTCTTCCATACCCCACATCTGTATGTTCAGCACCTTGAGCTCAGAGCCCATTCACACCTTCAGCAATTCCTGCCCATCACCTTGCACACACACTCCACTGCCAGGTTCTGGTGTCCCACCAGAGATATGTTCATCTATTATTCACTTAATTTCATGGGGCAATTTTAATAAAACATGAGGTGCTTTCCAGCAGAGAATCAACTTAAATTCTGCATGTTTACTCTTTCTAATTTAAGCGGTTTGAACAAAGAAGAGCCCAAGAGGCAGAATCTGAAAACTAAGCAAGATTCACTGAAAACTCTCAAGAGTTGTGTATCTAGTTGTGCCTGATTTTGCTCAACAACAGCATTTTGAACCGGGATCGCTCATCCTTTGCATTGTGGAATTTCGATAAAGGGTTCCTTCCTACTTTCTCCCAAAGTACAAATGATAGGAGATGTTTGAGTAAGGAATCAGTCCCAGGCTGATGGCTTGCTAGCACTGAACCTTCTTGAATTAAAGGAAGACAATCCCTAAAACAGAAGGCACAGAAGGGGCTGTGCTGTGCCCCTGCCTACAGCTGTCACAGAAGCTGAAGTCTACAGAGCAGGCTTTAACCCCAGCTACCTTGACCACAAACAGAAGAAAAATTTATAAACAGACAAGGCAGCACTACCATCGCTCAGGTTCCCCGGAGCAGCAGGGTTTGAAGTTATTGGATTTATTTTTTTTCAGGCAGGCTGGTCACGGGGGGAAGGAAGAGCAGGGGAACACCCCTGCGAGGGAACGGCCCCAGGATTTATTTCCCTGCAGGACACACAAAAAATCCACCCTCCCTTCCTCCTGTGAGCCCGGCGAGGGGGGAACGAGCCCGGTGGCCGCGAGGTGGCGACATCAGCCAGGGATGCGAGGGTGGGAAAGGCAAAGAAAGGCTGGGAAAAGCAAGGGAGAGGTGGGAAAAGCAAGGGATGGGGGGGAAAGACAAGGATGGGGCAGAAAACACAAAGCAAGGCAAGAGCGGGTCAGCAAGGCAAAGCAAGAGGGATGTGGGGAGGGCAAGGCAAGGCATGGCAAGGGAGGGGTAGGCAAAGCAAGACTTGAGAAGGGTTGGAAAGGCAAGGGAAAAGAGGGGAGGAGTAGCTAAGCGTGATAGTCGTTCCCTTGCCTTGCCTACTGCTCCCTTGCCTTGCCTTCCCTTCTCTGCCCCTCCTGCCTTTCTTTACCAAACCCAGCCTTGCCTTGGCTACCTCTCCCTTGCCTTTCCTAGCCCTTCCTTGCCTTCCCTACCCCTCCCTTGCTGTGCCTGCATTGCCTGGCCCTCCCAATGTGCCAGTGGGAACTCCCTGCGTGGCCTTTGGGAACCCAGGGAAGGGTCACTGGGGGTTCCTGGGGGAGGGAAAGGGTGGTGGGGAGCGGGTGGAATCACTGGGATAGCAACTGTGGGGCTGTGAGAGTGGCTCTAGGAATGGAGCTGGAACCACTGCAGGGCTGGGATAGCGAATGGCTGGAACTGGAGTAAAATCGTGAGGCTGGGGTTGGAATGTGCACTCTAGAGCTGGAGATGAAAGCTCAGAGAGCTGCAACCAAAAAGATCCTGCCGTGACAACCAGGATGTTTCATCTGGCAATGGTGGAAGTGGAGATGGGGAGTTGGAGCTGAAACAGCAGAACTGAGTGAAATAAAGCTTGTGGGGCTGGAGCTGAAATCACTGTCGGGATGGCAGAACGACTGTCGAGATGTGAAAGAGACATTTGGGATGGGGTAGTGACTGTCGGGATGCGATAGGAACTGTCGGGATGCGATAGGAACTGTCGGGATGCCATGGGAGCTGTCGGGCTGTAACGGGGACTCCAATCCCAGCCACCGTTTCAAGCCCTGCCCGGGCAGTCGCGGCCCGGCCCCTCAGCCCGGCCGTCCTGAGGCGCAGCCCACACGGCCGCCGCTGCGGGACCCGGCGGAGCCGCGGCCCCGCTACCGCAGCCCCGGCGGGTGCTGTTGGGGCCCGGGAAGGGCCGGCGGGGGCTCTCCGGTCACGTTCCACGCAGTTTGCCGGGCGGGCAGCAGGCACCCGGCGGAGCCCTGCCCGGAGCGGCGGCAGCGGCGGCGGGAGCGGGGCGTGAGGGGAGAGCGGGCAGCGGGACGAGGGGCGGGGCGGGAACGGGCGGGCCCGACGGCGGGCTGGGATTGGCTGGGCTGGCCGGGACGGGGTATAAATAACGTGCGCGGGAGGTGCGGGCGGCAGTGCTGTGGGGAGAGTGTGGATGGTGGTGTGGTGTCGTGCTGGGGCCCTCACAGCTGCCCGGGCCGGGGAGCCTCGGTGAGCCAGGGCCGGGCCGGGCCGGGCCTGTGCAGCTGCTGGGCCTCGGGCGGGCGGCGTCCCAGGACGGTATCAGTGCTCGGCCCAGCCCCATCAGTGCCCGCTCTGCCCCGTGAGGGCCGGGCAGCGGCGCCGCTGGAGGCCGGTGTGGAGCCTGTGAGGAAAAAGTTGTCCCCGAATGATGAATGGATGGGATACAGCCCCGTGGGGATCTGGAGCTTGAAGTAATGTTAAAAATACAGCCAGTAAAGTTGTTTTATTCCATTGTGATACTGCTTTTATGTTCTACTAATCTTTCGCATTAGAGTATTTTTATTCCGTTTTTAAATTTTCTTATTAGATACATAGTGTTTATTAAGTAAAGGTTATAGGAGTGGGGCCACGGGGGACAAAACCCTGGGGCTGGAGCCACACCAAAACCTACGTGGAGCTGAGAAAAATCTCACAGGGAAGGGGATGGAGCCAGACCCAAACCCACCTGGAGCTGAGATAAATCCTGCAGGGAAGGGGATGGAGCTGCAGGAGCTTCCCTGGGGCTTCCAGCCCAGCCAGTGGTGCCAAGCACAAGTCAGGAGTGGAATCTCAGGGGGATTCTGAACCAGCCCAAGGGCCCGTTTTGGGATAGGGAAGCTGGGGCTCAATGGCTGTTCCCTGCCCCTGTTGCCAGCTGGGGTGGGATTGTGGAAAGGTGTGTGTTGGGGTTCACATCTCATTAGCAGTGCCCACTTGGGATGGGTGTGACAGCTCACGGAGATCCTGAAGTGATGGCAGTGACTGATCCATGTCCTTGTCAACAGCTCTGGGCTGCAGTGAGAACCAGGAGCAGCTTTTAGCTGGAGGCAGAGAGAAGCTGAGGAGCTGAAGCTGAGGCAGCACAGCTGGCAAGACATAAACATGGGCTGGGAGTGAAACCCCTGTGGGGCAGGGACCGGGGGCTTGGAGATAAAATGAAGATCCTGCTGAGAACCTGAAGCAGTTTTACTTGTCAGCACAAACCGAACTGGCAGTGAAATAAAGCTTGTGGGGCTGGAGCTGAAATCTCTGTGGAATTGGGATGGGAGAGCTGTAGTGGTGGAGCTCACTGTGGGGCTCGGCT